GAGTCTCACTCTGTTGCCCAGGCTGGAATGCAGTGGCATGATCTTGGTTCACTGCAACCTCCACCTCCCAGGTTCAAGCAATTCTCCTGCCTCAGCCTCCCGAGTAGCTGGGATTACAGGTGCCCGCCACCATGTCCAGCTAATTTTTGTATTTTTAGTAGAGATGAGGTTTCACCATGTTGGCCAGGCTGGTCGAGAACCCCTGACCTTGTGATCCGCCTGTCTTGGCCTCCCAAAGTGCTGGGATTATAGGCGTGAGCCACTGCGCCTGGCCTTCCAGTGGACTTTCTATGCAATTAGAAGGCAATTTCCTGATGAATCAATAGTCAGTGTTCATTATGACTTTGTCATAAGGGTGATGGTTTCCTTTCTTGGTAAAGCCTTGCTGTTTTTCCTGGGATGGACAACTGTTTCACTCTGCCCACCCCCCCACCTTTGCCTAGTTTTCTGTTTATCTGCGTTAAATTTGTCCCCATGCTGTATTAGACTTGGCTGAGGCCTATCAATACTATTTTTCAAATGTACAAAGCTCTCAGCTAATCTCTCATGCTGTTGTTTACCCCAGTCTTCCTCCAAGGACTCTCCACTGTCCTGCTCAGTCAGGCTTGACTGTCACTGTTGACCTAGCACTGTTCTGGTGGCCTGTGGCAGAGCTCGTTAGCCAGGTCCACGTCTTCCTCTTTCTTCAAAAGAGAGATTACTCTCCAAAAATGATCTAAGAACTGATGCATCAGAGGTAAATGAGTCCCCATGTGTCTGAAATTACCTTTACCTTGACATTTGTTGGCTATTGTGCTGAGTAGAGCAGTGTAGACTGAAACTATTTTCCTTAGAAGTTTTAAGATATCATTTGGTCAGGTATGGTGGCTCACGCTGGTAATCCCAGAACTGTGGGAGGCTGAAGTGGGAGGACTGCTTGAGTTCAGGAGTTTGAGACCAACCTGGGCAACATATTGAGACCCCCATCACTACAAAAAATTAACATTAGCCAGCTGTGATGGCTTGTGCCTGTGGTCCCAGCTCCTTGGGAGGCGGAGGTGGCAGGATCACTTGAGTCCAGGAGGTTGAGGCTTCAGTGAGCTGTGATTGTATCACTTCATTCCAGTTTGGGTGACAGAGTGAGACCTTGTCTCATGGAAAAAAAAAAAAAATAGGTATTACTCCACTGTCTTTAGCATCTGGGTCTGCTGTTGAAGTCAGTTGTCGGTTCCTCCTATGTGACTTCTTTTTTTTTTAAGCTTATTTCTGGAAGCCTCTCTATTCCTGTGTTCTGTAATTAATTGCACCATGATCTCTCCCTAAATTAGTTTTTTTGTTTTGTTTTTTTCCATTTATTTTACTGGATACTCAGTGGGACCCCTAGCCATGTGGAAAATTATGCCCTTCAAGTCCAAATATCGTTCCTATTTCTTGTCTCTTCATCCTTTCTGGAACTCTGATGAAGATTTTATATATCCTGGGTTTATAATCATTTTTGATTTTCCACTTTGTATATTTTTGTTCTACAACTCTAACAGATATCCTCAACTTTATGTTCCAATTCTATTTTTTAATATATTTTTAATTTCTAAGAGCACGTTCATGTTTCTTGATTGCTTTTTATTTTTGCTTTTTGAGATGGAGTTTTGCTCTGTCACCCAGGCTGGAGTGCAGTGGTGTGGTTTTGGCTTACTACAACCTCCCAGGCTCAAGTGATCCTCCTGCCCCAGCCTCCCAAGCAGCTGGGATCACAGGTATGTGCCACCATGCCTGGCTAACTTTTTGTATTTTTGGTAGAGACAGCATTTCACCATGATGCTCAGGCTGGTCTAGAACTCCTAAGCTCAAGGAATCTGCCCACCTTGTCCTCCCAAAGTGCTGGGACTATAGGTGTGAGCCACCACACCCAGTCTTTTGATTGCTTCTTTTTAGAAGCACCCTCCTGTTCTTGTTTTATAGATGCAGTAGCTTCTCCTGTCTGAATCAATTATAATTTTTTGGTGTGTTTTATCCCAGTTCCCATATCATCTCCCTACTACCTTTCGTTGTTTGATATCCCTGTCTTTTGTGTTACTGTCCTCACACATCTGGTGATCCCTGATGGTCAGTTCGGATTTCGGAGTGAAGCCCATCACTGCCAGCTGGAAGCTGTGGGTGTGTGCACAGCAGGGTGGCTGCCTTGCTGGCTTCATTTCCAGCGAACAATCGCTCTACAGTAATCAGGCGCCACTGGGTTTCTGCTGAGCGCTTTCTATTTTCCTTTCATTGGGTGGGGGACAATCATCAGGTGGTCAGCTTTCCCAGTCAGGAAGGGGGCTGGAACCACAGAGTTCAGAGCTGTGCCCAGGTAATTAAAAAACAATTTTTTTTTTTTTTTTTTTTTAGAGACAGGGTCTTGCTATGTTGCCCAGGCTGATCTGTCCACAGCTGTTACTTCTGTCATCTCTTCTCAATTCTTTTCTTTGGAGGCTTTTTATTTTGAAGTAGTTTAAGACTCTTAAGAGTTGTAAAAATAATACACGGAGTTCCCAGGTATGCTGCTATATGTGGTATCTTCTACAACCACGGTATATTATCAAACCAGGAAACTCACACTGATATAGTGCTATTAACCAAACTACAGGCCTTATGTGGATTTTCCCACTTTTTGTATCACTTATTTTGGGGGAAGGATTTATCATTT